ATATATATATATATATATATATATATATATATGATTTATTTGCCTTTCAAAAACATATACAGTAAATTATTATATTTTCATAATCCACTAAATAAATAATTCATAACTTTTATTTGACTACTATCACTACTTATAAAGATTACAATCGATTTTAACATTTTCAACAATGTTATTCAACATATTTACACAATAACTATTCAAATAAAAAATAAAAAACTATTATAAAATCCTCATATGAAATTTAATAGATGAGCTATTCACAAGTTGTTAATAAGAAATTTTGGTTTGACTTATAACTCTTACATATATATATATAATATGAACAACTATTTTGTACGAAAGTATCTTTTAGAAAATTTTTCTTCTATGATAACTTCTTATATTTTGACTTTTTATTTATTATAATTATTTACAATTTTAATATTAAATTTAAATTAAATTATCAATAAATACAAAGAATTTTTTACTACAATATAATTTTTTTATCATAAATCCATAATATAATTTATATGTTTAAAAATATCTTTTATACAAATTTTTAATATATTTTATATATTTAAACATATATAATTTATTATATTTTTAATTATGTATAATATGTATTGCACATACTAAAATAATACTTTAAATAATCAAAGCTCAATCTTATTTTTTTTTACAAACAAACTTAAAAGAATATTTTACAACTCAAATTCAATAATTCACAAATAGTTCAACTATTTTCATATTATTTTTGTAAAATGTAAAGTTTGAATCAACAATGACTTAATAGTGTATTTGGATAGAGAATTTAAATGGAGTAATTCATTTATTTGAAAATTTTCAAATTTTTTGAGGTGAAATACCTTGTTGGGATGGAGAATTTATAAGGAATTTGAAATTCAAGCATTTGTGAAATTTCTTTAAATAGTACAATTTCAAATTCTCTCAAAAAAGTAATAATTTGAAAATTTTCATTTTTCTTCTTATTTTACTTATATATTTTATCTTATCTCTTATCTTTTCATATTTTTAATTATTAAATATTCAAAAATATTTTTAAAATGATCAAATATTATCTAATATTAATTTTTTAAATATTAAATATTTAAAAATTAGCTAATATTTATTTTTATAAAATTTAGTTTAAAAATATCAACATATAAATATATTTTTAAAATCAATTTTACCATTATAGAAGCAAATTATCATATCCAACCCAACAATTTAAAATTTGATAAATTTGAATTGATTTATCTAAACAATATATTTTAAAAAATGATAGAAATTGAAATCAAAGTAATTCAAATACAAAAAATTTAAAATCTGTTGAATTTGTAAAATTCTTCACCCAAACAGACCATAAAGCTTTACTCACAACGGACACTTGATCATATAACATTCACTATAAAATCAACTCCATGCTTAAAATTACACTTACACAGTATTAAGTGTTGGGCCATGATTGAATGTGTTCACTAATTTGGGCTTTCTCATCCAATGTGTTACCGTTGGGCCAAAAATTTATATCGAGCCCGACTGACACTAATAATCATTATATATATATATATATATATATATTTTCAAATTGACAACCCAAACCCATCACTGTTGAAGAATAAAATAATAATACCTTTAAGCGTGAAATATGTAACTAGGGCTGAGGTGTAACAGTTCATTTACTTTGTATAATATCAGCAAAGGTGTGGCAGCAAAGTTGACTTTGTTGAAGTCTCAGCCCCAAAGTGAAGCATGTTTTTCCTTTGGGACACTATAAATTAGTGATGGTCTTGGTTTTACTTTCCAAGCTAGTAACTTGTGCTAATGTATATTTTTTAAATAACTTTATATTAAATTATAACAAAATAATAAGATAAAAATATGTAAAAAAAATATCATTAGACATACATGAAATTCATTTAATTCATTGTTTTATTTTCGATCAAAATCATATAATTAAAAAAACAATATTATAAAACATGTAATTATTATACTACATGCTATTAGATAAATAAGTTGTGTAAGTCAATTTGCAAATTAATTGATATCATGTTAATACCAATAATTTTGTATTCTTTAATCAATTATTTTAAAATTAAATTACAAAAATATATATAAAAACAAATGAAACTGTTATATATAATAATTCAACTTTCAACAAAAAATTATATATATATATATATATAATATGATGAAAAACAGAAAAATAACAAACACATATTAAAACCAACAATATAACAATCTAAAATTCATGGCATTCATAATCTAGTGATAGTCATATAAAGAAACATATATATATATATATATATATATTTGCTATAAATAAGATAAATTATTTATGCAAAATTACATAAGAGATTAGGAATTTATTTGAATAATTGATATGTATAATATTATAAAACTTGTATAAAAATATTTATTTTGACATGATACAAACAATAATAACAAAATATAAAATATAAATTATTATGCATAATTTTTTTTAAAGAAAATTGATAATTAATTTTTTAGTTACATAATTAAAATTTAATATCAACTTATAATATAGGTTGTCATCAGACTTTTGAGTATACGTTACTTAAAGTTAATTTATAATTTATCTTTTAAAAAATTAATAATAACAATACTTTGTTTTCATATGATATTATCTAGTTGACATTAAAATTTAATAAAAAAAAACTAAAAAATAAATGTTACAAAAAATATTTTAATAATTTCAATTTTTACTCATGATAATCTATTTGACTAACATAATATCAATCATAATAACAAAAAAAAATGATGCATAAATTTTTAAAAATAGTTGATAATTGATTTTATAGTTATAAAATTAAAATTTAAACTCCAACTTATATTTAATATAAATTGTCTTCATAACGTTGAGGTGTTTCTAGAGATAATTTATAATATATCAATCATTTATTATGAGTCGATAATGATAATATTTTATTTTTATTTATATTATCATTTAGTTGATGCAAATTTGATTAAAAATGTTAAAAAACTAAAATTTAATGTTAATTATTCTAGTCATTTTTTTTAATTATAATTGAATTTTTTTTTTTAAAATTTTGTTAGATAAGATACACAAAATAAAATGAAAACAAAAATTGAAGATAAAAAATATTTAAATACTTTTCTTTTTGAACTCAATATCCATTTCACTAATTATTTAAATTTGTTATTTTTTAAACTTTAAATATAAAGTACATATAATCTTTTAAATAATTTTTAATTTAGTTATTTTATTTTCTTATAACAAAATGTGAAAAAAGTTTACAAATATCATAATTATTTTGATTATTATTTTTTATATATTTGACATATCTAAAAACTTTAATTATAAAATTTTAAAGATAATTTAATAAAGTTAAAAAATATTTTATAATTTTAGGTTAAAATTTAAGATTTAGAATTTATGATTTTAGGTATAGGATTTAAAAGTTTAGGCTTTCGAATTGAGTTTAGTTGCTTAATTTTCTTAGAATAAAATATTTTATTTAAAAAATTATAAAATTTATAAATTTTATAGTGATTATTTTATTTTTTTGAAGTTCTAGTGGTCGTTTTATAATCCATGTCCATTAAAAAATATTTATCTTTCATTTTTTCATCTGAGCGGTTTTATTATTTTGAAAGAAATATTTTTGTGAATTTTATAATTTTTCTAGTGATTTTTTTGTAATTGACATTATTTTTTATTTTTAAATTTTAGATAAGTTACACTAGATAATTTAATAAATATCTTAATTATTTTAGTGATTTTTTAACTAACATTTAAAATTTAAGTTTCCTAAAAATTGATGGCCTCTGTATTGTTTTTGAAATTGGAAAAAAATATTTTAACATTTTTCTAACATTTTCTTTATTATCAATTAAATTCATTGAAAATCATAAATTTAGCTACTTATACACTAATTCAGTAGATATTGATTAAATGAATTACGAGACATATCTAAAATCATAAGTAATTCGTAGAAATTGAATTCAATGATAAAGCACAACTAATTGAATTATTATTATTTTAATTAATAGACAAACTATATAAGTATATTTAAATTCAACACAACAAATTGATTACAGAATGTATATAAAATATATACAAATCTAAGACAATAGATCAATAATATAACATAAACAACAAATTATTGATATTTGACAGGAATAAAATTAGAGTCGATTGTTTAATATAGATTTCAATTCGAGTGTTGAGAATTAAAAGTTGTGGCAGGAAGAAAAAACTCAAATTTTATAGTAGATATTACCTTATTAGTATATATTTATTTTTCTGTTTCAACTGTTATTTCTCACTTTCTAAGAAATTAAACCTAGCTGAGAGAATAATCTTTTATGTTTCTAAGGTTGATCGGTTTTACAAATACAGCTGTAATTATGGACAAAACCACCTGATCCTCGTAACAAACAAAAACAATTTAAATAAAATTAATTTGAACATAACGGATTTATTAATAAATAATCAATTAATTAACAAATTCAGTAATCAGTAGTACTTACCTTTTCTTAAGACATAGTAGTAAAAAAAATTATTGTAAAAAAAATAAAAAATAAAACAAATGATTCGAGTAATAGTTATTATGCATACTAATTCGTGCCATATTATTTAACATAAAATAATCAATTATATATGTATTTTGATTTTAAATTTATTACCTTACATTAAATAACATGTGAAACACGGGGTAAATGAAGTATTGGAGTCCATAATTAATTAAAAAGATAATTTTTGTTCTTATTGTGAGTAATAAATAGAATATAATAACAAAAATAAAATATATTAATAAATAAAAGATAGAGGCATTGTGTTTGTGTTCATGTTTGGATTTTCTTCTTCGTCTCTACTCTTTTGCCTCCTTCTCTTTCTCAACTCTTTTTTCCATTCATATGCTTCTCTACCAACAAAATTCAACTCTGTCGCTACTTCCCACTGCGTTTCACACCACCTGACTCATTCCTCACGCACCCCTCAGCAACATAATCTTCTATTCTCTCACCTTTCGCTTCCGCAACCATGTCTCAAACTAACTGGGAAGCTGATAAGATGTAACTTTCGTTTTTCGTTTCTCTTTCTTTGTCTTTTTTTCGATATGGCTTTTCTGCTCCGTGCTCAATTAATGATTCCGGCTCCGGGTTTTTCTCGTGAACCGGGTCCGTGTGTTGTGTTTAGTGTCTTTTAAAGTTCCAATTTTTCTTTCTGGGTATTTTAGGGTTTGTGGTTTTCCGCAAGTATTTGTGGTGGGGTTTATTGGGAGTCGCTGATTTTGCTGCCGGACTTGGATTTTTGTGTGGTGGTTCACTTGATTTTGTGATGTGGAGAATGTGAAGTTGAAATTGTGAAATCTTAGCCTATCACTGTTCACTTGGGTGACATAACTCTTGTTGTGCTTTGAGGTTTCAGGTTAGATGTTTATATCCATGATTATCTTGTGAAGAGGGATTTAAAGGCTTCTGCTCAGGCTTTTCAAGCTGAGGGAAAAGTATCCTCGGACCCTGTTGGTGAGATGTCTCAAAACTCTACTCTTTTGTCAAAGAATGAAGTTGGAGTTAACTTTTGTATTTTTATATTGTTTTGTTTATTGATTTGGTTGCTTGCGTGTGCATGTCTGTGGAATGGCGATGTGGGGTTGCAGCAATTGATGCCCCTGGAGGTTTTCTGTTCGAGTGGTGGTCGGTTTTCTGGGATATATTTATTGCAAGGACTAATGAGAAACACTCTGAGGTTGCTGCATCGTATATTGAGGTTGGTGGTTGGAAAAGAAGATTCGTTAATTTTACATTATGCAACCTTCTACCATGCTACATTTGAGTAGTATTATGAAAAAAATTACACCAGTATTCCATAAGGAAGCTTATGCATTCCATTGGGTTCAACTTTTCAGTCTCTTTGTTAACCTAACTGCACTGCACCTCTTAATAAATGACTGATTTGGTTTGCTGTTCCTTTATTTATTTATTTATATTTTTTCTGTATATATTTTAAACTGTACTTAAGATTCTTTCTTTAGAGTCAGTTTTTGTTGAATAATTTTGTTGAAAGATGTTTATTATTTAGTTCTAGGTTGATATGACTAACAGAATGTTTAATACCAGTGTTGTTTGAAGTTTGAACCTGTTATTATTTGTGTAATTAATGAGCCTCTAGGTCTATGAGGTGTCTCAACCTGTGATAAATTTACTTGTTTGGCCTGATTGATTATATTTCTTTTATTTGTGTTGAGATCTTACATCTACTTTTCACATCGAGACTTGTTTCAACATTTTGTGAATTTGTCCAATTTTGACTGCTTTATTAAACTGCAGAAATTATAGACTATTGTTTTAGCTAAGTGATAAGAACCCAACTATTTCAGTTTGGGCAACTACTTTAGGTTTCTATAGCTACTCATCTATTATCCAGACTGCTCTTCTTGAAGTGATGGGGTGATGGAATCTATAATTCTAATTTCTACATAAGAATTTCTAAATCAAGAGAAAAAAAAAACAGATCCTGCTCTAAGTTTATGGTTTATGAAACCCTATCTGCAGACACAATTAATAAAGGCAAGGGAGCAACAGCAACAACAGCAGCAGCAGCAGCAACAGCCACAACCCCAGCAGTCACAGCATCAACAACAACAGCAGCAGCAACACATGCAGATGCAGCTCCTGATGCAGAGGGCACAGCAGCAGCAACAACAACAACAGCAGCAACAACAGCAGCAGCAGCAACAACAACAGCCACAACCACAGCAACAACAGCCACAACAACAACAGCAAAGTAGGGATAGGGCTCATCTATTAAATGGTAGTGCAAATGGGTTAGTTGGAAACCCTGGAACTGCAAATGCACTAGCTACAAAGATGTATGAGGAAAGGTTAAAACTTCCCCTTCAAAGGGACTCTTTGGATGATGCTGCAATGAAGGTTGGGGGATGCTCTGGTTATCTAATCTGATTATAATATAAATGCTGTTTTTATGATGCATATGTACGTGACTTTCTTTTGGTATATTATGCAGCAAAGATTTGGTGAGAACATGGGTCAACTCTTGGATTCAAATCATGCATCAATATTAAAGTCAGCTGCAGCTCCTGGCCAGCCTTCAGGGTATCAGTATTTCACTTTTATTTTAATATTCAAGTCTTTCTGGAGACAGAAGGTAGTTTGTACATGATTAGTCTGCTGTAGCATAGATAGTATATATTTGATCTGGAATTCTATGATTAAAGCTTATTTTATTAAGGCAAAACAAAAAAAATGATCTTTATATCTTCTAGTTTTTTCTCTACACTCTATTCCTGCCTTTGATGTTATGTGGTATTCAATTTTCTTTGTATCCAACATTTGCTATATTTATGGGTGTTGATTTTGCTAGCACCAAATTTCTTGATTTCAGGCAAGTTTTGCACGGTTCTGCTGGTGGGATGTCTCCACAAGTTCAAGCTCGTACTCAGCAATTACCGGGGTCTACTCTGGTACACCTTTGTTTTTAGAGGACCTCGTTAATTCCTTTTATATTTCTTATCATCTGTTTTTCCCTGACTTGCCACTTGGAATCAGGATATAAAGGGTGAGATTAGTCCTGTTTTAAATCCCAGAGCTGCAGGTCCTGAAGGATCATTGATGGCAATGCCTGGTATTTCTGCATGATTTTTTTTTTCTTGCTGTAACTGATTTGTGTTATTTTCAAATTGTTTTGCTGCAAGTTGATGGAATGTGATTTCTTTTTTCCTTTGCAATTTATTTGTGGATGGATGTATTTTCAGGATTTAATGTTAATTTCTTTATAATGTCTTATTACTATTCTTTCACATAAATGGAGTAATCAAGAGAATTTCTTGTGTCAGGATCAAATCAAGGTAGCAACAATTTGACTTTGAAAGGGTGGCCACTCACAGTGAGTAATCTTTTATTTGATTGTTGTTTTAATCAATGTTACTTCTCCTGGTGGATATATATCATGTCATCCTAATGGTGACATCATATTCAATAACTTCCCTCAAGATTGTGGTGTGCTGTAGTCTTTGCAGAGAGTGAGATATCCCTCCCCCCTCCCAGTGTGTACACAACTTATAAGCCTATGGCCCCTCCCCATTAATATTATGCAATCCTTACTCCTTGAACCTTACTCAAGTGGCAGAATTTGCTTGAATGTGTTAACTTAACCCTACAGAACCTCCATCATCTACAAATGATGGCTTCTGTTCTCTGAAGTTTCTCCAGTCCTTCTATAATGAGTTTTATGTCATTTATAAACATCTTGAATTAATGAAACATAGCAATTAGTTATTAGTTTTAGTTTCACTATTAAGCTTTTTCTATTCTTTATTAGGGTTTGGAGCAACTGCGCTCTGGTCTACTCCAGCAACAAAAACCTTTCATGCAATCTCCTCAGCCTTTTCATCAACTCCAAATGTTGACACCACAGCATCAGCAACAGCTTATGCTGGCACAACAAAATTTGGCATCACCATCTGCCAGTGAAGAAAGTAGAAGACTAAGAATGCTATTGAATAATAGGAGTATTGGTCTAAATAAAGACGGTCTTTCAAATCCGGTTGGTGATGTGGTATCAAATATTGGATCCCCTCTTCAAGGTGGTGGTCCCCCTTTTTCTCGTGGAGATACAGATACGCTAATGAAGGTGTTAGTTCTCTTCTTTCTTTCCATCTGCAGGATGGTTCTTATATAATTCGTTAAACTGTTTTTTATATAAATTTTTAGTATTTAACAAAAGTTTCATGATTTGTATCATCTGAAAGTTTTTGTATGTGTAGTTGAAACTGGCTCAGTTACAGCAGCAACATCAACAACAGTCAAGTACCGCACAGCAACAGCAACTTCAACAGCATGCCCTTTCAAATCAGCAATCTCAGAATTCTAATCATAGCATGCATCCGCAAGATAAAGTAGGGGGAGGTGGTGGCAGTGTCACTGTGGATGGTAGCATGTCAAATTCATTTAGAGGAAATGATCAGGTCAGTCCTTTTATAGTTGTTAGTATACCACAGACATGTTTGAGCAGTATGTTGTTTATCCTGAATTGTATAAGGATTGAAATCTCATCCTCTTTTCCTTTGTTATGTCTATTTGCATGTCTTCCTTTTTGTGGTTGGTGTTATAGATTTTTCTGTTTTTATGTTTTTACAATTTTTGGAGATTGTAACAGTTTTTATATATTTATTTTTAAGCTAATGATTGTGAATTTGTGAAATTGAGAATTTATATGTTGGGAACAGTTTGGATTAAGGCATGGTGAACTTATTTCCTTGTTCATTCCTGCACTGGTTTTGAATTCAAGTATTGCGAAATATGTTCTCCATAATCTCAAAAGATTTTACTTCTTTCTTTCTTTGAATTCTTTTGAACAGAGATATGATGATCCATTAATGAAAAGTAAAATAGAAGTAGTGATTTATTTATTTATTTTCTGCATTAGCAATGTGGAAATCACAACTTCAACTACTGGTTTGTTTCTTTGAAACTGCTAATCATATATATACAGAACAAACGGCAATGTCTTGCCACAAGATTTTGACATTTACTTCTGTTAAATTAAATCACATGATTTTAAATTTCTGTCTGAATTTGAAGACATGATTTTTATGCCTTATGAAGAGTATGAAATAGGTTCCTAACATTGTTTTCTGAATGCACTTTAAGGTTTCAAAAAACCAGATGGGGAGAAAGAAAAAGCACCCTGGACCCTCCTAGGGTCCTGCCAATAGTTCAGGAACAGCAAATACGACAGGACCATCACCAAGTTTTGCACCATCAACACCCTCAACTCATACGCCTGGAGATGTGATATCAATGCCTTCTCTGCCTCATAGTGGTAGTTCTTCAAAGCCTCTAATGATGTTTGGCACTGATGGCACTGGAACCCTTACTTCGTCTTCTAACCAGTTGGTGAGTAGCTCTTCTGTGTGGTTGAATTGATGGAAGGAATTGTTTAGTTCCTTGCATGTAGACTCATTGCCATTCCATTTTGGCAGTGGGATGATAAGGATCTTGAATTGCAGGATGTGGATCGCTTTGTGGAGGATGGATCTCTAGATGAAAATGTTGATTCTTTTTTATCCCATGACGATACAGACCCTAGAGATACTGTTGGCCGTTGTATGGATGTAAGCAAAGGTGCAGTAAACACCATTTTACATTGATCATAAAATATTCTGGCATCATCCTTGCAAAAGAGTTTCTCCAAGTGTATGTCTGAATTTCCCTCACTCCAATGTGAAAGTTTGTAGTCTTCTCTTTGAATAGATTAATAGATAATCTGTTGTTCTTATGGTGAAATACCATGAGGTGCAAATGTTAAACAGCAATCAAAGATGAATTAGTGGCTTTGATGTCTCTTTCTTCGTGCCCCTAATATTCTTTACAATAGTTATGATGAACATGTGCTATTTTATTTTTGATAAATAAACATTGTTGGTTATATACTTAAGAAGGGGTTTCTTTGTTATCTTGTATGTGGGTCTGCATGGCTGCTACTTGCTCTTTAATTCCTTGGCGTGCATAACCATAAAGAGGCAATGGCTTAGAATTAAGAAACTAAGGCCATGTAAATTTCGTGTGGTTATTTCTTTGTTTTATTGTCAGGCTTCACATTTTCTGATGTAAATTCTGTACGAGCAAGCTCAAGTAAAGTTGCCTGTTGCCATTTCTCTTCTGATGGGAAATTACTTGCAAGTGGTGGTCATGACAAAAAGGTTAGTCGTGGCATTAGTCTTGATATTAATATTTTATTTAGTACTTTCTTTGTTCAACTAACTTCCTGAGAATAAGCAGTGAACTTAAATTGAAAACCAAATAAGGAACATTGTTTTTCCTTTTATTCTGCTTATACGTGGGAATAATATCCTGATTGTTTTGTATTGCAGGTTGTTTTATGGTATACGGATTCTCTAAAACAAAAAGCTACTCTTGAAGAACATTCATCTTTGATTACTGATGTCCGTTTCAGTCCAAGCATGCCTCGTCTTGCAACATCCTCATTTGACAAAACTGTCAGGGTTTGGGATGTTGACAATGTTAGTTGATTTATTTCCTGTTTTACTTTAATAATATAAAACTTCAGAGAAAATGTTTATATATTTTAGTGGGTTTGAAGTAACTTGACCATGCACATCATAGTATTAATATTTGCCATGACTTAAAAGTGTGGCACACAACAAAATTAGAGATGTATAGATGGACATCTTGTGAGATAGATGATAAAACTTATAAATGTGCTTGCTTTGTATGAAATTATAAATTATAGATTATAAACAAGAAGTGCACAACTTTTTCCATAAAGAGTTTTCAGTTTGAAATGTATTCTGCTTCAAGTATATTTTTGTCTCGCAGTTCTGTTTCTGTTGTAGATTTTCCTTGATGTGTTTTACTATTCTGTATTGCTATGGCTCATATGGTAAGTTGCAATGAAATAGCTAATTATTGAAAGACTGTTATACAGAATGTTTATATTTGATCCTTCATGATGAAGATGATTACTGTGGTGCAATAGTGCTTAAGAAACTAAAGGAAATCATATTGCTGGTAATATTTAGTGTTTCTAGCAAATAGATGTTTATAGAGATTGTATTGTGTTTAATATGGATGTTGAATGCCACCATGAATGCTAATGTTCTATTTTTAAAAGATCATGTGATCTATGCCTAATATTTTTGCCGCTACCTGCAATATTAACTAATCTTGTATGGAACAAGGCTCGGAAAAAGTTTTCCTTTTGCTGTATTTTGACATGCACATTAGAACTATTTGTTTGCTGGGATGTTAATGATCGCAGTCTCATATGGTTTGTTTACCTTTGTCTAGAAGTTGATGAGTTGTGTGCATTTGTGGTTAGCATTTTGATTTAATTGAATATATAATTACAATGCAGCCTGGTTATTCACTTCGCACCTTCACGGGACATTCTGCAAGTGTTATGTCACTAGATTTTCATCCAAATAAAGATGACCTTATCTGCTCTTGTGATGGTGATGGTGAGATACGGTATTGGAGCATAAACAATGGTAGTTGTGCTAGAGTCTCAAAGGTAGAATGTTAATAATTGTTATCATCGTTCATATTCATTTTTTATATCAAGATCCACATAGTGAGTCCAACCCTTCACTGGGTGCTGCAAAATAAATGCTGTTGCACCAAGCTGCCCCATTTTTTGATAAATTAAATTTCAGTTTTGTATCTTGTGCATTAAAGTGATTATGCATTCATTTCAGCCTGCTAACTTAAAATGTTCTTGCTGATTAGGGTGGCACCACCCATATGAGATTTCAACCTCGTCTAGGGAGGTACCTTGCTGCAGCTGCAGAGAACATTGTGTCTATATTTGATGTGGAGACGCAAGCGTGCCGATATTCATTAAAGGTTGGTTTGCATACTTTATTTTGAAGTTTCTTCTTGGAGGCATAAAATAAATTCTTTCAAAGAGAGGTTTGCAATTTTGATTGAGTCAGAGTTGGTGTTATGCACTCTATATTTTCTCTGGATATCATGAGATTCGGAGTTAAACTTCCAAAATAATTTGAATGTTGTTTAGTCAGGAGAATAACTTGGAGCAATTCTTGTGTTATCAACAAGTCAATAACCTATTTCAAGATAGCCAAAAGACAAAACTGTTAAAGAGGGAAAAACAGACATACTTGGGGGAAAAACCCTATGTCTGAATACACAATAGATGCAAGTTCATGTAGAGGCTTATTACATTAATTATACATTAATTGAGGTGACATTCCTACTTAGCCCACATATTTCATCCTCCTATATTACATGGGCTAAAAGTTGCATCACGATTTTATTCACTATATATATTTGGGCATAATACATAAATTCTTGAGACTTTTTAACAGATGGGAAGGTGATAGCTACCATGTGATTATAATTTATTATTTTTATGATATCAAAGCTATCTGTTAACTGTATGATCTGGCATAATTGTCTATTATTACCATATATTATTTACAATTTTTTCATCCTGACAATGGTAGTTTTGCTCTTCAAAACTAAGATTATGGCCATTAAGTTTTTGGCTCATTAGCATGGGTTTCTTGCATGTGAAACTGACGAGTCTAGCCAATATATATTCTCATGGTAAAAAATTTATACCGTTGTAAGTGATGGCTTCAAGCCTCTAAACAAATTGCTAATTTATCTGTCTTTGCTGGAGTGAATTCAAGGTAAGAAGCATCAGTTATAATTGCTATAAGAAACAAATCCCTCTGGCAGAAATGTATCAAATAAATAGTAGCAAAGTGTATATACTTTGTCTTGGTGATTACAACAACTTTGTTTTCTACTCCAAGATTATTGCCAATTTTCATTATTGAAATGTTGTGCTGTGGTTGTAGGGACACACAAAAACGGTAGATTGTGTGTGTTGGGACCCTTCTGGGGAGTTGCTGGCATCAGTGAGTGAGGACTCTGTGAGGGTTTGGACTCTTGGATCTGGGAGTGAAGGGGAATGTGTACACGAACTTAGCTGCAATGGCAGTAAGTTTCATGCATGTGTTTTCCACCCGACGTACCCTTCATTGCTGGTCATTGGCTGTTACCAGGCAAGTTTTATTTTTGTGCATCAAATTTATTTTAACGAAAGTTGATCCTATTTGTTATGATTTATGATTATGTGGTTGAATGTTGTGTAGTCATTGGAGCTGTGGAACATGAACGAGAACAAGACAATGACTCTGTCTGCTCATGATGGTCTTATTACTGCCTTGACTGTTTCAACTGTAAATGGTTTGGTTGCTTCTGCCAGTCACGACAAGTACATCAAACTCTGGAAGTGATTTTCTGTCTCCTCCATTAGGTCTTTCTCAGTTTGCTACTACTTTATTCTTCTTTTTTGCTTCTTGATCGAATTTTATTTTCTATGTATCTTTAGCTACTTACTAACCCATGTAATGTAACATTATCTTCCATTTAAATATCTACTTGGATATTTGCTTTTCATATTTTGTGCGTTTTTCCCCTCAATGTTGGTTGTATCCACTCAGCAAATCATGAACTTCTCCTTCAAACTCTCTTTCTCTCTAAGCGTTTTTGATTTGTGTGCTTTATCAAGAAAGAAAGAAAAGAAAGCAAGAAAGAATTGACTTTACTCAACTTACTGTTTGCTTTCAAATATTTGTTTGATGCGTTGTTAATTTGTATGAAAATTTACTCAAGTAAAACATAAGTTAGTTAATATGAGAAAAGTGTTAAATTAGTGACTTTAATTTATCATACATATGTTGTGATTCGATGACATAGAATGACCGTGTGAAACAATTTTATATAATTGCATAATCTATTTTTCTTGATGTTATATTTTTAAAGTTTAATTTAATTTATTTTGGTAAACACTTAATTAAAACATCGACTTACCTCTATCCAAAAGTTGACTTACCAATTTTATTGAAATCTGTTAATCCAACCACCTTTTCTTAATCATGAAAATTCAAATCTAGGTTTAAATAGGTTTTTAATCCCCTGATAAATTTGTTTTGTTTCTTAAATTTAAAATTGTTTTTAGTTTCTATAATTTTTAAAAATTTTATTTTAATCTTTCAGATCACTAATAATATATCTGAAAATGGCAAATTAAGTCAGTTATGTAATTTTAATTAAATTTAATATGATGTTTTCACTAACAAAGATACTAATCTCATAGGTCATCAATAATATATTTGAAATAGGCAAATTAAAACGGTTATGTAATATTAACTGAATTTAATGTGATATTTTCTTTAACAGAGATACTAATATATAGATTTTATACAGTAATATTTGATAAATTTCTTAACAAAATTTGAAGATAAGGACTAAAATAAATTTTTTTTAAATTATAAAGACTAAAAATAATAATTTTAAATTTGAGGAATTAAAAATATATTTACCCTAAATTTGAGTAGCTAAAAACATATTTAAGCCTCAAATATAATATATTAACATAATTAAATTTAGTTCCATTCCGCCCAAAGTCTTGTTATATAAAATTTAATATAACATATAATATCTAATAAATATGTTATTTGTAATATTACAAAACTTAATTACATAATACTTAATAAATTAGTGATATTATATAAGGAAAAATTCCTTTACTTTTTATTTTATAAATTTTATATTTTTCAATTAATAAATAAAAATAAATAACAATATATACAAATCGGTTATTTAATATTTATAAAATATTGAATATTACATTAATTTTCTCACCTTTATGTATTTTACTCTAATAATATGTTTCGAATGTATATCGATTAATATAAAGTAGTAATTTAATAATGATATATTATATATATAAAATATAATGAATATAATACTTGTAGTAATAAACAAATTTATTATACAAAATGTTTAATAAATATATTAATTAATATACTATATATTGAAAATAAGTTATTTTTATTTTTATTATGTTTTAATTAATATATACAAAAAAGAATGATATACAAAATTCTATTTATTCATGTTTATAAAGCATTTTGTGAATAACATTAAATATTTTAGTAATCTTTTGATCGATAATGTTTTATTAACTTTTTGGCCATTTGCGTATTTTACTTTAATAATATTTTTATTATATAAATCATAAGTATTATTCAGTAAAATTAATTTTGTTCGACTAAAAAAGAACTAAATAAGTGACAAAACACTCTCTTCAAACATTTGACACAATTGTATACTAAGACTTAACTTGAGAATTGAGATCAAAATTTAAGATAAAACAATTTCATATTAATTGATTCACGTATTTCTTGATTTTTATTAATATTTATTGAATGTATATAGACTATTATGAAAAAGAGTATATTTAATAAATACATATTATATTTATTAAATTTATAAATATGTTATATTTAATAAATATAATATTTATAGTACACCTTACATCTTATGTACAATAAATAAATACATAATTTATCAAAGCTAATAAAAGTAATTAAGTTAGTTAGTTATAATTTATAATGTCATAATTTGATATTTTATTTAAAAAATATCCATAAAATTAAATAGTATTAGTGATAAATATATTTAATGACATTGCTCACAGGTCAAAGAATAAATTTTTCAACCAAATAAGTATAAATTATATTGTTATTTACTTGTCCAATAAATACATACTTTTATAATAAATGAGTAGATGACTCATTAATAGATTCTTAATAAGTTAAAAATATAAAAGGTAATCATTAATTAATTATAATTAATACATTTAAAAGCAGTTATGTTTCTTATAATTATGATCAAAATAAGACACCTATTTATGTCTTATGTATAGGAATATTGGAGGTAGTATGACCAAAGTTAATATATATATATATTAACTTTGGTCATACTACCTCCAATATTCCTATACATAAGACATAAATAGGTGTCTTATTTTGATCATAATTATAAGAAACATAACTGCTTTTAAATGTATTAATTATAATTAATTAATGATTACCTTTTATATTTTTAACTTATTAAGAATCTATTAATGAGTCATATAATATTTAATGAATACATTAATTAATATTGTATAAGAAAAATTACTTTCTTTTTTATTTTAAAATACTTTATTATTATATTTAATAAATAAAATAATGAATATATGTTTTTTAAGGACACATTTTTTTTATTTATATATTTAGAAAATATTGCATTAATAATATTGAACATTATATTAATATATAGTCGTGTCTTTCTGGATTTTACGTTTTCGAATTTGATTATGTTAAAATATATTTTGTGATCAATAATAGTAGAAATAAAATTTCGACATTTTAGTAATTCAAGAAGAGGAACATAACATTTGAATAGAAAAATAAAATTAAAAAAATTGTTAATAGTTCCATTAGACTTATATACAATGTTAATAAAATGATGTAGTATTGTTCTTTTCATAGTATTAAGATTAATGATGTTAAAATTTTTAAATATGTAGCGATATGTGTTATTTTCTTTTTTTTGTTATGTTACATGGATAATTAGTTGTTATCATTAGTTTCAATTGAATGAAAATAATCGCATTGTATTGTTTTAAAAAATTTAAAGATCAAATTGGATCTTTTAGTAATAGATGGACGAAATCAAATAAGTTATACAAAATAAGTAACAAAAAGAAAAATTTAACCAAATAAATGTGTTATTAAATGACATGACAAGTAAATACATGTGCTATATGTATAGTTTTAAAAATTAGATCAGACTGATCGGTCAGATCGGTTAAATTGAGAAATGGTGATTTAATCGGTCCGAATCTTAAGTTGAATTCGACCCGTTTCAAATCGGAGTGAATCGGTTATTTTTCTGATTCAACCAGATGGATCGAACCTGTGGGTCAAACCAGTTTAACAAAAAAAAAATTTAATAATTTTTTAATATATTTATTTATACAAAATAAAATAAAAATAGTTTTAAAAAAGATGAAAATTGAAATTTAAGATAGGATAAGAATTTATTGAAATTTATAAGTATAAAATATATTTAACATGAATATTTTTTTAAAAAAATTAATAAAAATTAGGTCATATGATTCAATTAGTAACCCACCGGTTCAATCTTTGGCCTACTGACTCAGTACTCTAACCGATTTGATGATCGGTTCGATTTTTAAAACTATGATTACAAGTTACTCCCTCCATTTTAAATTTTGGATCTTTTAACTTTTTATACATATATATTATGAAATATTTAATTTATATGCATTTAGACTAAATTACTTCCATTTATTATTATTTTAGCTAAAAAAAATATCTTTAATGTTCCATTTTTTTACAGGATTAATGTCCCACTTAAACTAGCCTTTATAACTCAACTACATATATAGGTATAATCAAAAAGGTTATATAAAAATACATTGGAATTTAAAAGAATCAAAATTTCAAAGCAAATTAAAAAGTCAAAAGAACTAAAGTTTTGAAATGGGAAAAATATTATATAATGAGTGAAAAAGCTGTTAAACACATGTTAATTACAACACATAGGCCAAACCACAAAACCTTTAACATTTATGAGGGGTATATGTGAACGTTTCTTTCCATAATATATGGTTTTTCTTCCATCTTAATATATTTAATTATTTTTGTGTCTCTCTTTTCCTTAGCTAGCTAGATTGTTTTATACAGCAGAAGTTGGTGGTAGAACTATGAACAATCCACATCCTGAGATAGAGAGAATGGAAAGCAAGATGGAGATAATATTTTGATTTGAGGAGAGGAATGAAATGAGTAATGTGACTCTCAATTTCTTCCTATTCTTATGTCACGTCATTTTTTTTGTACGTTAAAATGACTCAAAAGCAATATAAATGATATCGTGATAATGTTATTAGAGTTGATTGCGGGATGACATGTCCTACAATAGGCTTCAATCACTTTTTTTTTTCTCTTTTCAAAAGTGGTCGTAAATGTATGTATATATATATACATTTATTCTAAAAATAAATTTATTTAAATTTATTTTATTTAATAACTCATACTTTGTACTTAAATTTAACCTCAAGATAAACATTATTGCAGGCCAAAATGTTATATGATATCTGAATTTGACTTCGAGATGAACTTTATTGCAGGCAAAATGTTATATTATATGAAAAAACGTCCTTAAAAAGGAGAGTCACTATTACTATTCATAGTAGAAAAAATATAGAACAATCTTTTTGAGATTACGGGATATATGTTTTGATACGATGACATGAAAAGTTGAAGCGTAAAACCAACGCTAATCAACGACCATTGGATCTATTTATCATTTGTACTTTAAAATAATCATAGCCAGAAACAAACATGAGAGCCACTTTGCAGAACAGTAATATAAACTTATTCTTCCATTTCTCACTCTTGTATGTTTGGGACCTCTTCTCCTCTAAAAAATTATCATCATTACAAGTTAATAACGACCAATTCTTTCCCTTGGTACTGGAAAATTAACGAGGTGTTTGTTCACTTTTAATTTTCATTCCACAGTATGATTCTTATTTAGTTCGTTAAACTGTTTTTATTTATGGTGGTTTTATATTTACCAAAATCAAAAATTTCATGATTTGTATCTTTTGAAAGTTTTTGTACGTGTGACTGATCGGTTAAAGTAGCAACATGAACAACGGACACCTACCAATGAACGGCAGCAGCAGCTTCAACAATGATGTCTCTGATCAGTTGGTGAGTGTTTTATATTTGTTGTTCAAAATTGATTAAAAGATTCTCTTAGAAAGTGGGTTTGGGGTTTTAACCGATACGCCATTTATGGCTTACTAATATTAGACTTTGTGTTTGGTTAAATGAAGAATCACTTTTTTTTTTTAATAATATGATATAAAAGAGATTCAAGTTTTTTTCTTATATTCTCTTACCTCGAACACTATTGGACTTTTTATATGTATAAATGATGGGAGACTCTTTTAGCAGACTTAAGATGACTCTCATCATCTTAGAAAATGAGTTTGAGATTTCTCTTAAGACACACTCTCATGTCCAACACTTTAAGACTTGGTAATGAGTGACTTTTTTAGCGATCTAAAAGATTCATTCATTAAGTTCCTTGCATTTAGACTCATTGCTTTCCATTTTGGCAGTGGGATGATGATCATAATGATGCAGACCCTATAGATACTGCTGGCTCTAGTCAAGTTGAAAGCACAGGTGTAGTAAACACCATTTTATTGATAAAAAAATATTCTGCCATTATCCTTGCGCAAGAGTTTATTAAAGTGTATGACTAATTATATCCCCTCTCCAATGTGAAAGCTAGCATTATTTTCTTTTAGTAGATAATTCATTACCTAATACTGAAATGCAATGAATCACAAATTTTAAATAGAAATCAAAGATGATTTAATGGCTTGGATGTCTCTTTCTTCTTGGTGCCTTGAATATTCTTTACAATATATATGATGGAAGTTTTATTGTTTTGATAAACAGATGCTTTCTTATCTTTTAAATGTGGATCTGCATGGTTGCTCTCTAATTGCTTGATGTACTTAAATAGTAAATGACTTAAAAGTCCCAAACTAAGAGTATGAATTTGTTTTATTTTCAGGCTTCACATTTTGTGAAGCTAATCACGTACGTGCAAGCACAAACAAAGTTATCTGTTGCCATCTCTCATCTGATGGGAAATTACTTGCAAGTGGTGGCCTTGACAAAAAGGTCAGTGGTAGTAGTAGCATTAATCTTGATAGAATTTATTGAGTACTTTTGTGTTCAAAAATTCAACTAACTTTCTGAAATAAGCAGTGAACTTAAATTGAAAAACAAAATCCAAGAACTACACCCCCCCCTCCCCTTTTTGTTCTGTTTTGATATGGAATAAATGGTCTTTTCCTTCTTATTGTTTTGAATTGTAGGCTGTTTTATGGTACACGGATTCTCTAACACAAAAAGCTACTCTTGAAGACCATTCAAGTTTGATCACCGATGTCCGTTTCAGTCCAAGCACGACACGTCTTGCAACATCTTCATTTGACAAAACTATGAGGATTTGGGATGTTGAGAATGTTAGTTGGTTCTTTCCTGTTTTACTTAAATAGTATACTAGAATGCAACTTGGAGATAGTAAAACTTATTAACGTGGTTTTATATGATATTATAAACAAGAACTGCATAACTCTTTCCATAACGAGTTTTCAGTTTGAAATGTGTTCTGCTTCAAGATATATTTTTGTTTTGAAGTTTTGTTTCTGTTGTAGAATTTCCTAGACGTGGTTTTGCAATTCTGTATTGCTATGGCCAATATTGTGAGTTGCAATGAAAAAGTTCTATCACAAGTCAGATGAAGATGATTTGTGTGGTGCCATAGTGCTTAAGAATTTCGTTATGTGTTCAATATGGATTTTGATTGTTGAATGCCACCATGAATTCTAATATTCTAAGGGTCTTATTTTTAAAAGATCATGTGATGCATGCGTTTTTTTTTTTGCTGCTAGATTAAGGCCTCTTGTAGTATTCTGATTTAATTGAATATATAATTACTATGCAGCCTTTTTATTCGCATCGCATCTTTACGGGACATTCTACAGCTATTATGTCGATAGATTTTCATTCAAATATTGATGACCTTGTCTGCTCTTGTGATGGTGATGGTGAGATACGGTACTGGAGCATAAACAATGGCAGTTGTGGAAGAGTCTTCACGGTAGAATGTTAATCATTATCAGCGTATTTTTTATACATTTCTCATATCATGATCCACATAGCGGGTCTAACCCTTGCTGGGTCTTGAATAATAAATTCTTTGTAGCACCATGCTGCCCTATTTGTTTTTGACAAAAAAATTAACATTTTTGTAGATTGTGCATTAAAGCAATGATGCATTGATTTCAGCTTGCTAACTTACAACTTTCTTGCTGATTAGGGTGGCACCACCCAAGTAAGATTTCAGCCTCGTCTTGGGAGGTACCTTGCTGCAGCAGCAGAGAACACTGTGTGTATATTTGATGTGGAGACACAAGCACGCCTATATTTCTTAAGGGTCGGTTTGCATAATTTCCTTTTATATCTTCTCTGGTTATCATCAGTTATTCGGAGGTAAACTTAAAAATATAAACGGAATGTTGTTTAGTCAGAAGAATAACTTGGATCAATTTCTGTGTTAGCAATAACCTGTTATTTGATGGCCAAAAGATAACAAGTGCTTGAAAAACTTGCAATATGATTGATATAATTTCTCTGTCTAAGCTATTTTCTACGTTTAGTAATTTTGCAATTTGATAAGGACTGAAATTATATATTAATAATGGAAACTTGCTCCTAAGATGTGGTTCACTCAAAATTATCTCCCATTTGTAAACTTTATTTTGACACCAGGTCTAATTGACGTAGGATTTAAGTTTTTCTAAACTATTTCATTTGCTTTATCCGGAAATGAAGGAAGAAAAAATCAGTTATAAATTTATAACTGATATAACAAATAATAGCTTTGGAGCTTGTAAATGTGATATAAGTATAACAAATATAAGTGATTACAGCAATAATTTTATTTCCTACTGTCCGAAGAGTATCACCAATTAATTTTCTTTATTGGAATGTTGTACTATGTTTGTAGGGACACACAAAAACAGTGAGTTGTGTATGTTGGGACCCTTCTGGGGAGTTGCTGGCATCAGTGAGTGAGGACTGTGTGAGGGTTTGGACTCTTGGATCAGGGAATGAAGGGGAATGTTTATACGAACTTAGCTGCAATGGCAGTAAGTTTCATGCATGTGTTTTCCACCCGACGTACCCTTCATTGCTGGTCATTGGCTGTTACCAGGCAAGTTTTATTTTTGTGCATCAAATTTATTTTAACGAAAGTTGATCCTATTTGTTGTGATTTATGATTATGTGGTTGAATGTTGTGTAGTCATTGGAGCTGTGGAACATGAACGAGAACAAGACAATGACTCTGTCTGCTCATGATGGTCTTATTACTGCCTTGACTGTTTCAACTGTAAATGGTTTGGTTGCTTCTGCCAGTCACGACAAGTACATCAAACTCTGGAAGTGATTTTCTGTCTCCTCCATTAGGTCTTTCTCAGTATGCTACTACTTTATTCTTCTTTTTTGCTTCTTGATCGAGTTTTATTTTCTATGTATCTTTAGCTACTTACTTACCTCTATCCAAAAATTGACTGACCAATTTTATTAAAACCTGTTAATCCAACCACCTTTTCTTAATCAAGAATATTTAAATCTATTATCTTAACATAATCAAATTTAGTTCCATTCCGTCCAAACTCTTGTTTTATAAAATTTAATATAACATATAATATCTAATAAATATGTTATTTATAAAAATTTCATTATAAATTAACACTATTATATAAGGAAAATTTGCTTTAATTTTTATTTTCTAAATTTTATATTTTCCAATTAATAAATAAACATAAATAACAATATATAAAAATTGGTTATTTCATATTTACAAAATATTTAATGTTACATTAATTTTTTCACCTGTATGTATTTTACTCTAATAATATGTTTCGAATGTATATCGATAAATATAAAAGTAGTAATTTAATAATTATATACCATGTGTATAAATTTAATAAATATAATATTTGTAGTATTAAAAAAAATTATTATATAAAATGTTTAATAAATATATTAACTAATACACTATATATTGAAAATAACTTATTTTTATTTTTATTATGTTGTAATTAATATATAAAAAAACGATAAACAAAATTATGTTTATTCATGTTTATAAAACATTTTATGAATAAAATTAAATATTTTATTAATCTTTTTGATCTATAATGCTTTATTAAATTTTCGACCTTTTGTGCATTTTACTATAATAATTTTTTATTATATAAATCATAAGTATTTTTCACTAAAATTAATCTTGTATTTCTAATAATTATGATCAAAATAAAACACCTATTTTTTGCATATATTATTAATCATATATATATATATATGCATATATTATTTACTATAACAAATAACGAAGAAATTATTTTTTTAATTATTATATTATATTTATTATATTATTATTATAAAAACATATTTGTTTATTCATATTTTTATAAGATATTATATTAATAATATATCAGTTTTGTGCGTATTTTATTTTAATAATATATTTAAAATATAATATTTAATGAATACATTAATTAATATTGTATAATAAAAATTAATTTATTTTTCATTTTAAAATGCTTTATTATATTTAATAAATACAATAAAGAATATTTTTAAAAGGAAACATCTTGTTTATTTATATATTTAGAAAATATTGCATTAATAATATTGACTATTATATTAATATTCGTGTATTTGTGGATTTTACGTTTTCGAATTTGATTATGTTAAAATATATTTTATGATCAATAATATTAGAAATAAAATTTGGACATTTTAGGAATTCCAGAAGAGGAACACAACATTTGAATATAAAAATAAAAAAAATAAAATTAAAAAGTTGTTAATAGTTCCGTTAGACTTGTATGAAATGCTAATAAAATGATGTAATATTGTTCTTTTCATAATATTCAGATTAATGATGTTAACTTTTTTTAATATGGAGCAATACGTGTTATTTTCTTTTTCTTACAATGTTACATGGATAACTAATTGAGATCGTAAGTCTCAATTAAATAAAAATAATCACATTATATTGTTTTAAAATTAAAATTAAAAAATTAAATTAGATCTTTTAATAATAGATGGACCAAATCAAATAAATTATACAAAATAAGAAATAAAAAAAAAATTTAACCAAATAAATGTGTTATTAAATGACATTAAAAGAAAAGGAATGTATTAGATATTATAGATAAATTTAAATCATGTTTAACTTAAATGAGAATGCATTAGAAAAGAGGTCGGTGGAACCGTTACAGAAATCGGTAATTTTTCACAACTTTGTGGGTAATAATGGAATTGGAAGGTTAATATTAATAATGTATCTTTTAAACTGTTATATGGGGCGTTACTTTTCAAATACAGGCCATCAACAACATTGCCGGTGCCAACTTTTTCAACCCACTATTTACTTAGTGCCCAAGTTTCAACATAAAATATGTTTTTCTTTAAACAAGGGCTACACAATTTTAGCCAGGATTGACCTTGTATTTTTTTCCCCTGAAATGAAAAATGGTCTTATAATTACTTAAATACTATTTATCATCTCAATTTCTATATTTAAAGTTATAGAACAAACAAACAATTAAACATACAATTGCTAAAAAAAATTCATTTAACATAAGTTTGTAAAAAATTATAAATTATCATTAGAAATTATTGTGCATTAAAAAATAGATTAATAATGATAATACATCATAAACAAACTTTTTAATAGAGAGATAGGAGTTCACAATTTGCTTTCAAGATTTTAGCAGAATAAACTAGATTACAATTTAAAAATAGAAAGAAAACTATAAAAATTAAAAGTAAAGAAAAAAAAAAAGAAAGTTAAAGGGTCACCCTTATTTGTAATTTTACATTAACACTTGTGAAGTTCACATTAAGAGGAAAGAAAAAAAAAAAAAAAGAAGAAATGATTCAATATATATAATTTTTTTCCTTTACATTTAGGGGGTGTATTGGATTAGGATTTTAAAAGACTTTTTTAGTTAAAAAAAATCCTGCGGATTTTAAAAGACTTTGCAGGATTTTCATGACTTTTAAGACCTTGAATGATTTTGCAAGACTTTAAATCAGGATTTTAATGGGTTCTGCAAGACTTTTAAATTAGGATTTTAATGGATTTTACGGGACTTTGTGGATTTTGTAGAATTTTCGTGGATTTTTTACATATGATAAGATTTCAAAAAAATTTTCATACATTCAAATTTAAAAAGAGTCAAAGATAAAAATAATAAAAAAATAACAATGTCTAACTATACTAGTCCTTAAAGCATTAGTATCTTCTCGTTCTTGCTCCTGAGTTTGAATAATAAATTCAAAAGTATGATCTTCATTAACCGATAATGTTAAAGATGACGGATCAAATACCTTGGTCATTATAAAAAACATGTAAAAATGAAAATATAGAAACATAAGATAATTTTTATATAAAAAATTAGTATATTTGATACTGAGAAAATATTTAGATATATAAATTTTTTTATATAAACGGAAGTATTTAGATACAGAATATATATATATATATATATATATATATAAGTATTTTATTTATATATTATATGATAATTTTTTTTAAAAAATATTTATAAATATAAATTATTCTAACAAATATTTTTACAATATTTCTTTTTTTTTTTTTAAATAAGTTAATGGAGGCATAAACCCTAAACCCTAAAAACTTAGATATTACAATATCTTATGTTAATTTTCTTTTTTAAAATATAAAAAAATCATAATTTCACAATATAAAAATTTAAAAAAATTAATAGTAAAAAAAAATTAATAATTATTCAGTGATAAAAGGAAGAGGGATAAGAGTAATAAGCTCAAGGGAAGGAGAGAAATCGCTGTTTTTATGCTGAGAGAGTTTTTCCCCCAACTATAAGATCCATTTTTATCTCATTCTACTTACAAAAACCCTAACTCAAATTTATCTTTTATATATATATATATATATATATATATATTGTATAGATCATGATATCAATTTAATCTTTTACCTTTTCCCTTTTCTTGATGTGTGTTATAAAAAAATTTATCACTTAAAGTTAAATTTTTAAGCGTTTTTTGTGTTGTATAAAAGAAAAAATAAAATAAAATAGAGCAAGTCAATTAAAGAGAACGAAGAGAAAAATAGAGCAAGTCAATGACACTGTCATTTACATATCGAAGTTTCACAAAATAAGGGAATGGAATAAGAACAATACTACAATATTATATACGAGCAATGAACAGTCACTTCAAACAATCCTCAAAATCTGATGGGTTTGGATGAGATTGTTTTATGAATTTGGTATTATAGTACTAGAAAGTCCTTCAAAATCCCTCTAACATAACAATCCTTTAAAATCCTTATATTTTTGAATACCAATGGATTGTTTTTAAGTTGTAAAAAATCTCAAATGAATACCAATAGATTTTAATGGACTCTTTAAAAAATCTTGAAAATCCAGATTGAATACCATTAGATTGTTTTTAAGTGACATAAAATCTTGATTGAATACCAACAGACTTTTTAAAAAAAAAAGTCTTTTAAAATCTAATGAAATCTTAAACCAATACACCCCTTTAGTATTATTGATTTATTTTTTTTAAAAAGTCATGGTAGATTTTTGTAGACTGATAAGAAAAATAATTATTGATTAATTGTTTACAATTAATCTATTTTCTCTTATACATTTTTTATATAATTTAATTATGTCAATTTTTATTTTTATATTATATAACTAAATAATTTTCTTTTTCTTAGCACACTGATTAGCGTACAATATTTTGTTTCCGCAAATATGCTAAATTTGTTTAAGTTATTCTATATCTCCTCTCCAAATTGGTAACATGGAATTTTAGAATATACGCATCCAACTTTGATTTTTCTATTTATTTTCTTTTTGCCATCCATTCACAACACTAGCTATAGCTTATATAGGGTAAGAGTTTGATCAACCTCACCCATTGAGAAAGACACTACAACTTAATTTCTAAAGGCCAACCTTGTGTTAATTAATTATAAACAAAAAAGTGATGCCAGCTAAAGGATATGGTGTACAAGCCTCTGGTCCCCATGCATGCTTGGAGTCTTCAACAATTGGTATATGCATTTATCAAACAGCAAAAGCGACCAGGGAAAGAGAAAGAGACATATTCTCACTACAAAGAGCATATGGTTATGTTCATTTAGAACATTTGAGGAAATGCATGCATGTCTTTGTTGTGTTGTGTGTGACAAATCCTTAATTGTACGACACTATTGTCCTTTTTGCAACCAGACAGCCAGTGCATCAATGTCTTTTTTTTCCTTCTCAATCTCTATCTCTTTAATTAACTAAGTAATTGTCTTGAAGGTGAGGAGATTAATTAAGCATTCATTTTAAATGGGAAAGAGAGAGAGAGAGAGATGTACAAAAACAAATCCAAATGTGACACCCCTTTGCAGTTATGTACAATATTCTTCCTTTTATCGATGAGTTTTCACATTCGATCCGATTCTAAATGTATAATTTGGAGTTAGGACAACTAAACAAGGACAAAAAATCTCTTGCTTCAATCAAACGAAGAGAAGAAATAAAAAGTAAAATGAGATATATATGGAAAGAATTTCGGATTTGGCAGAGGGATTACGGGGATCTTCCACAACAAATGGAAAGAAATAATAAATATTGTAATATCCATATGCATGTCATTTTCTAGAGTCAAAATGTTTGATATATGTAATTAATTTTATTCACCCATTGATTATGACTTGTGAACAGCTAGATGTACTAAACTGACATGGTTGTTGGATGAGCAGCAAACTAGTTAATTGTGTCAATTAGCCTCCAAGGCTTCTATAATTAATACTTTTGTAGCATGTGGCTTTGCCCTCCCATGATCAATACTGACCAACAAATTGGGTCACATAACTTCTCTATCTTATACTTTCTCTTTTCGTTTCATAATAAAAATCATATTAAAAAAATTCATAAAATAAGTATCATCATATTACCTTTTAATATATAATATTATATATTTTTTAATTTATACTCATAATAATATGTAAGAAATGATTCATGTATTACATTGTTTCTTAATAAAAAGAATATTAATCATAAAGTTAATTTTGTAAAATTATTATTTTCTTTCATTTTATTATTAATTTTTCATGTTTTTTTTTGTAAAATAACTTAGGACGAGATTTATTTTTGGATGGAGGGAGTAATAAATAATGCGTACATTAATTTTGTAAAAATTATTATATTAATCCTTTTGAAAGCTTATTTTAACTTATTATATTAATCCTTTCCGGTGGGTGGCAATGGATTTGGAGGCTTCCATTGTCGGAGTCGATTCGATTTTTCTTATGGCAGGTTTGTCATGATGCTCTTCCCACTGGTGTCTTGTTGGTGCAACGACATGTAACTCCTGATGGGCTTTGTTTGAGGTGTAGAAACGAGGTGGAAAGTATTGCCCATGTGTTGTTTCGCTGTGAACATGCGGTCAGATTGTGGCGTCTATTACATTTGGAGGAGGCGATTTGTTGGTGGTCGGGATCTTGGCCAAAGTGGCTTAAGTTGTGCTTTCAGAGGTGCCATATCCTTCCACTCATTACTTGTTGGGTTCTCTGGAAGATGCGTAATGAACGGGTTTTTAATGGGTGTGACTCTTCTGTGTGGGAGGCCTTACGTCGGGTCCATGCTTTGCATACTACCATGGTACGTGCTTTTGCGGTAGCTGATGAACACACACCACATGATGCAGGGCTTAAGTGGGTCTCTTGTATCTTTGCTGAGGGGCTACAAACTAGTCTACATGTTGACGCTAGCTTCAATCCAGCATCAGGTCAAGCAGGCATTGGTGGTCTTGCAAGAGACTCCAATGGTAGGTGGCTATAGGGGTTCTTTGGGGCAGTTGAGGCTGTCGATGCCCTTCAGGTGGAATTACTTGCCATTCTTCACGGGCTGCGGATTGCTTGGAGCCGACGCACGCAGTCTGTGTTATGCGTTTCGGACTCAGCTGTAGCGGTTGAGCTTGTTACGCATGATATCCAAAGTACTCACAGATTGGCGGCTATCCTTTACTCAATTGAGGAGCTGGTGCATAAGTCTTAGACGATTCAGTTTGAACATTCCTTCCGAGAAGGGAATAAGTGTGCTGATCTATTGGCTAGACAGGGACAAATGCGAGGTCTAGAGGTGGAGGAACTTGTTTCCCCTCCACCTGAGGTGGAGTCTCAGGTGTTAGCGGACATAGCTGGAGGTCCGGTCGTTAGATTGTAATTTTGTTTTTTTTTTTCAGTACTTTACCAAAAAAAAAACTTAAGTATAAGTTAATTATAGTTTATAGAAAAGTTATTTTATTTTATTTTTCTATAAATAATTATTTAGAAGTTTATAAAATCACATTTAATTGCTTTAGTAAACATGAAATAACCAAGAAATTGAGAGGATTGAAGAAATGAAAGAGAAATTGGAAAATGATTTTTGTTTGATATAAATGAAACTGATATGTAGAAGAAAAAGAAATAGAAAGTGTGTGGGTCCTACATAAAAAAATTTCATTGCTACTTAGTTCTGAGGATGAAATAACAGAAATTATGACACGTGAAGAAAGGGAATGTATACGTTATATTTTTAGTTGTTCACATTAACATGCATCCAGAAATAGATTAAAATGGGCTAATAACTAAACACACAATTGCCCATTAAAGTGTACTACTATGACACTAGCATGCATTTTTCTAATTCCATTCAATGCAGTAAGGTCAAAGCTAGTTGTCTCACACAACTTGTAATAATTTTGAAAGTTATTTATTTTGTACATAGGTCGTAGCATAATTTTCAAAATCAACCGATTGTGCCATGGTTGATAATTAATTTATCTCTTTAAATATGTGATTACGAGATTATTGATATCTAATTTGTGTATGAAAAAATATTTATGGAGAGATGTCAACTCTTTAATGAATCTTGATACTTTAAAAAATTAATCTTTAACAAACTTTTAATCAATTAAGAGATATTTTAGTTTTCCAGAATAAAAAACATTGTTTTCAAAAGTAGATATTCAAATTTTATTCTTATAATAACTTGAAGAAAATATTATTTTGATTCTTTATATCTCTCAATGCAAACTTGCAAAGTAAATCTCACGAGCCAATATTAGCTGAGTTGTAGAGCCTTACACAACTTCTTATATTTTTTGGCTTTGTTTTATTAAAATCTCACCTTTTCAGCAAGAGATTATGTTCAATAAAATTCTTTTTGCACAATTAAAATAATAGAAGACTAAATTTATGAAAAGAAAAAAAAAACAAATTTGAGAAATAAAGATAGTAGGCGATTCAAAAGTGCAAATACAATCTAAATTAATAAATTGGCCGACAATACTACAATTTTCAAGCAAACATTGAGGAAAAGTTCAACATTGAATGTCATGTTGCGGTGCATTTTGTCGTATAAGTAGATAAAATGGTGTTTGAATTGTAGTATTGTTCTATAGTTTTTTCGACGTCACAAAATCTAAAGCCTCAATTTTATATTTTACAATTATAAAATTAATAAACACGCAAGATAAAATTATTTCTCAAATCATTAGGTTATGATGGCATCACCCACAACTCATATTTTTTTTCTCTCAAACCATTAGGTATATTTATTGTGTAATTGTGTTAGTTTTCATGTACAATTTTTCAATATTAATAAAACTCTAACGTACATGTATGATTCATTAGTTTTCCTGTAAAGAAATTCAATTGATTGCAAGATTTATGAAATGCATATCAGTGTGTGCTTTAGCATCACATAGTATAAACCCGCAACAAGTAAGTTACGTCCTATATATGGAGATCGAAGAGGCTATTATGCGTAGTTTCTGATTTTAACATACGTACACAAGACGCCGACACAACCCACATTTCTAAAAGGAGAAACTCTCTCATCTTTAATGCAACCTTCTCAAGAAGCCATATTTTATATGGAATGGTGTTTGTCACACATTACTTTCACTATCTTTTTATATCACTTTACGTATTATAATTAATATTCTTCAAGTGTAGGATTAATTTTTCAATTTATTTTTCCTGCAGTCCATGTACATATGAACAAAAACGAAACTCAATTACGTGAACATGAAATAAATTTTCCTTAGAAACTAGATTCAACTTTTCTTTTATCAGTGAAACTCCAATTGTTGTCCACTACTCCAAAAAATATAGCTAGTTTTGACCCTTATATGGGGCTCCATATCTCAACGTTACTTTCCATAATATATGGCTTTAATTTCCTTCACCCTTAATATATATATATATTCATTTACTTTTCTTGTCTTCCTTTCTTATCCTTTGCTAGCTATAGGCTTGTTTGTAACCGACCAACTGGCTATATATATATCCGAACTTTAATGTGTGTAATTAAGAACAATTCGGAGAGAATGGAAAGTAAGAGTGAGATTGTGATGATTCCATGTTTTGATTTTTGCAAGGGTGGAGTGGCATTAGAAGAAGGGGGTGAGGAGTGGAGGGAAATGAGCAAGAAAGTGATAGAAGCATTAGAGAGTCACGGTTGTTTCCTCTTGACATGTGATGAGATGATCCCTAAGAATGTGAGTGAAGAGTTCTTCAACCAAATGGAAGCACTGTTTGATTTGCCTGAAGAAACAAAGAAGAAGCACACGAGTTCAAAGCCTTATAGCAGCTACAATGGCAAGAGTCCTGTCATTCCTCTCTGTGAAAGCTTTGGGATCGATGAAGTTCCTCTCTCAGATGCTGCTGAGACATTCACTAACCTCATGTGGCCTCAAGGAAACCCATCTTTCTGGTAATTCATTCTTTCTATGTTACTAATTAATTAATTATATAATTAATACTTTGCATATTATAGATGGCTACGTCTACTAGCTTCTGTAGTTATTACTCTCTAGATACTAAACATACTATTTAATAGATTGGTCATGCCACCGTTCATAGTAACAATAAGAATTGAACTAACTCTATTGCTCATTAAACTAACTCTAATAGTTAATTATTACATAAATATTATGGTGCAAGAAATTAACTCTAAAAAGAAAAAAAAAAAAAAAAAAAGAGTAAATTTCCTCTTGTTCAAGAATAATGGATTCATTAAAATATTTTTTTATTAATTTGTTATTAAATATTAATCAGTTGTCGGTGTTCATAATAAAATATATGGTATTTTCTTAAACAAAGGTTTAATATGCTAAATATTATAGGATAAAGGTATTTTAACAAAATCCAATCATTAGCGGCATACTAAAAAATATATATATAAAAGAGAAGCAGGTTAAAGTGTATATTATATATATAAATTAATAAACAGTCAATATTTTTGTAATTTGTCAAAGTAAGGACATACTGAAAAAATAGAGTGATTTTTAAAGGGTTAAAGTTCAACGTGGCATTCTCGCCAGAAATTCAGTAAATTTAAGAATTAAGAATTCGTTTCATTTTGCTCATAATCATAAAAGATTTATTTTCCGGAAGATGTTAGAATAAAGTTGAGAAGAGACGTTACAAGGGGTGCATGAATTGTTATATTAACAATTTTAGAAGAAATATAGTACCCATATAAGGAGAATATCTTTCTTTAGTTTTCACAAAATTTTTTATATTTATATTCTTTTATTATATCTTAATTTTTTCCAACCATCATATATTTTAAGGATAAAATAAAAAGAAAAATAATATGTATACAAAAAATTAGTTGTCATTCACTTTATCAACAAATAACTATCATATATTATTTTATAATCATTTTTATTTAATATTATTTTATTTTATTAATTATATATTATCTTACTTGATATACACTATAACTTCTATTTTTTTATTTTATATTATTTCTAAACAATATATTTTAAAATATGAAATATCTCAATTTTACTAATATCAAATAATTAAAAGAGATTGAAGTTTGATTTCAAACCTTCTCATGATTTATTGATTTGAATCATTGAGTCCATGAGTTACATTTATTTTGAATCTCTTTTATTGGGTCCTTTTAAAATCAATTGGTTGAATTTGAATGAATTTCAATAATTAAGAACCACGGTTAACTATTATAAACACATACTTGCTAAATATATTATATACATATACTTTTCTTTTGAATTATATTCTTTGTGACATACAGTGAGATACTGAAGATAATGAGCTCAAAGATGCTTGCACTAAGCTTTATCATTCTGAAAATGATTGTGGAGGGTTATGGCCTTCCACAACATTACATTTGTGATGTTGAAAACATGAAGAGCTCTTGCAATTCACGATTGATCAAGTACAAGGTTCCTGAAAGCAATGATGACTATAAGACTGCCTTGTTATCTCACACCGACAAAAATAGCTTAACTCTTTTATGCCAAAACGAAGTGCAAGGGCTTCAAGTGTTATCCAAAAATGACAAATGGATTGAATTGGAGATACCCCGACATGGCTTTGTGGTCATTGTTGGTGACATACTAAAGGTATATGTATGCATACACTTAATTATAATGAATTGAAATTCTTGTAGAATAATTATTTTATAATTATGTTGCATGTATTAATTAACAGGCATGGAGCAATGGGAGGCTTCATGCAGTCACACATAGAGTGGTGATGAATGGAGACAAAGAGAGATACTCATTTGGAGTTTTTGCAAAGCCAAAGGAAGAGATGATCATTGAGGTGCCCTCTGAGTTAGTGGAAGAAAAACTTCATCCCCTTCGTTATCGTCCGTTCAATTATGGAGAGTATTTATACTACTTTGTTACAACTCTCCAAGAAAATGCTCTTCAAGTGTTTGCTGGTCTTTGAGAGAGATTTATGATACAAGCTCTTTGTAGAAGCAAGCCAAGCTATCCAAGATTGCAACATATATCTACTCCTTTTATGCAAATAATTAGACCGATTTCTATATTATTATTATTATTAGTGGAGAGTCACTATGTGTTTTTATTATTTAATAAATAAATAAAATAATTATTGATTAGTTAAAGATTTATAAAAATAAAAAAGTAGTAAAATAAAGTTAGTAGAGGAGAGTAATTTGAAAGTTGTTATAAAAGTAAAATTGTTTAAAAAAAATTATATATATCAAATCAGATTATTATTTTTATATATGTTATAGACGATGATTATGATTATTATTATTTTAAACTAATATTAAATCATAATACCAATGATATAATTTTAATGAAAGAATAAAAATTATAAATTTTATAAAATTGAATGACTAAAATTACAAAATTAAAGATTAAATTATGAATTACATATTATAAAGAAACTAATTTATATTTTTATTATCCACTATACTATTAAATTTTCTTGTATACTAATCATCAAATCAATTGTCTAGATAGAACAGCTTCTAAAAATGCATGTATAATTTAGACACTTGATTTCACATCTTTGAGGCTAATTATAATGGAATTAGAGGGTTGACAAGGTGTCCCAAAAAACTTGAACTGCTAATATAAGGATGTATCAGCAACTTGCCACTTGCCAGTACCAACATTTTCAACCCATTATTTACTAAGTGACCAAATTTCAACATTAATAATATGCATGCCGTTGTTTCTTTAAACGAGTGGTACACAATGTTAGCACACATCTATTTTGTATCCCCAAATATATGCTAAACTATTCCAATATATTCTATCTCTCCATATTGGTAATATTTTTTGAATATATCTATCCAACTCTTGTCTTTTATTTATTTTCTTTTGCTATCCCTTCACAACACAATAGGGTCAGATCCCGATCAACCTGGCTTTTTGGCCGCAATAAATTAAGAAAAAAGTTCTAAAAATAAATAATTCAAAAAATAATTTATTGAAATAAATTATTTTAAACACGTGGACAATGTTATAAAATAAATATTATTGACTTTCAACATTTTGTGAGTAGTACAAAATTTCACAAAAAAAACGTCTAGGTACCCAAATGTACAAAAAAACACATATATCCAGATATGTTTTTTATACATTTTTGAAATGCATACAAAATATAAAGGAGTAAGTGTTTTTTGTGCATTTCAAAAATGCAAAAAAAAAAAAAGTTTACTCCATCAAATATTTTTTGTATATTAGCTCTTTTTTGTGCATTTTTTCGGTCCACAAAAAATGCCTATGGGTTGGGACGTTTTTCCTACTTCTCACTTCCCTTGTTGCCTTTAATTGCTTCTCTTGCTTTCCTTGTAGGAATGTTTTTTAATTAGATATGTTCCTCAACTTTCCTCATGAGATTTGTGTACATATTGCATCTCTTAATTTGCCTATGATCATATTTTTCTTCTTAGCTCCATCTACAAAAGTTATTCTCATCTTTTCTATCTCTCCCTTTTGTGTCTCAAATTTCTTCTTTTCCTTTAAATTTTACCGATATAATTTTTTTCAAGTGAAATTTATTTTAAGTTTATGTAGATTTACAATTTGTATGCTTTTTTGTACAAATGCTTCTTTATATTTATAGTTTACATATTTTTTTGTGTGATTTTGATTATAAAAATTATTATTATAATTTGCAAGAATGTCATGCAAAAAAAATTGATTATCTATCGAATAGTGAGAAAGAACAAGAAAATCTTCTTTCTGAATAGTGTAGTTTCAAAGATCACTTGCATGTTATATATTGAAATGTATTAGTGAGTGAAAATAAAGATGATGAAGAATTGGTACGATTTCCATTATCACCCATAACCTTAAAGCTTGGTGATGACAATGACAAACATCAATCATTATTTAATAAACCAACTTTTAAACAAACAAATCATTAATTCCTTCAAGGATTTAGAGTGAAGATAGTGAAGAGAGTAGAGAGTCAAAGGGGTGGTATCATGAATAAACATCAACCACCTATGCATATTCAAAATTCAAACGAATACTCATGTTTGCAAAGCCTGCACCGTGGTTGCACCAAACTGACTCCATGGTGGGACACAAGCTGATCAACCCCCTATGCATATTCTAATTTTATTTTATTAATTTAATTATTTTAAATTTTAAAATATTCTTAAAAATATTTAAACCTAACCAAACTTATGTTTAACTATTTCCCATAATAATTTTCCTGATTATATCATTTCTGGAAATCATATTCTCATATATTATCATCCGTGAAACAATTATCTCCTTATAAACGGAAAGTGATGATGATGACAGCTAAAGGATGTGATGTATGTATAAACCTCTAGTCCCCATTCATATTTGGATTTGGTAGAACCTCTTTTGCATTTCTCAAACAGGGAAAGAGAAACTGACAATATTCTCACTACAAACTACAAAGAGCATATTGATGTTTTATTTGGAACACTACAAGAAACGCATGTCTAGGGACAACTCAAGCCGAAGAAATTAAACATTTACTTCATTCGAATGGAAAAGGAGATCGGTAGGTAGAGAAAGGTAATTAAACATAAACAAATCAATTAGACCATATTGCACATCCCCAAAGATTTATCTGATATTTTTCAATTTTAGGAATTATTATGGAATTTATAGATTATGTTGTATTAAAATCCCACAATAACTCGTTATCATATATCGTAAACAAATTCTGAATAATTTGTAATTATAATAAAATTTACAGGAAATTTTTGGAGAAAAAATATTCCTAGGAAAAAAATCATATATTTTTAGTATGTGCAGTCATATTATTATTTGCAAATAATAGGATACACATGTTATTGTACATGTCATGTTATTTTTTGGGTTTAATGTATCATTTAGTCTTTGAATTTTTTTTATATAGAATTTTTACTTAGATCTCCAAACTTATGTTTACGGAAAAATGATATATTAAATCTAATTTTTACATATGTTTTAAAATTATTGTATATATAATTTAAAAAATTACATTATCATACATGTTTCAAGATCAAATTTTGTTGGCCTTAAAATAATTACCCAAAATATAATTAAAAAATTAAATAGTATTAATGTAAAATATCAGATATTGTTAATACACAAGCTTGAAATAATTATCCATAATATTAATATTAATTAGTGACTAGCTCTTCTTGTTATTTATAATCTTTGTGTTATGCCATTGTTGAGATTCCCTTCTTTTTTTATATATATATATATATATATTAATTTACTTTTGTATTCCTTATTTTTCCTTAGAACAACAAGAGTTGTATATTGAATGATCATTATAAATAGCGAAAATTGTTGAAGAATAATCACAGCATGAGAGATAGAAAGAATGGAAAGTAAGAGTGAGATTATGACGATCCCTTGTTTTGATTTCAGCAAGGGTACTATAGAAGAAGGGAGTGAGGAGTGGAAAGAAATGAGCAAGAAAGTGATAGAAGCATTAGAGAGTCACGGTTGCTTCCTCTTGACATGTGATGAGCTCATCCCCAAGGGTGTGAGTGAAGAGTTGTTTAATGGTATGAAAACATTGTTTGATGTGCCTGAAGAAACAAAGCAGAAGCACATGAGTCCAAAGCCTTATAGGGGCTACAATGACAATGGCAAGAACAACATCATTCCCCTCATGGAAACCTTTGGCATCGATGAAGTTCCTCTCTCAGATTCTGCTCAAGCCTTCACTAGCCTCATGTGGCCTCAAGGAAACCAATTCTTCTGGTAATTAATTCTTTATATTACTACTTTATATATCAGCCTATGCTGCAGCTTGTAGAGGTGTTCAAATTTTAAAATCTAAATCACAATGACATGCAGTGAGACACTGAAGACCATGAGCATAAAGATGCTAGAACTAAATTTCCTCATCCAGAAAATGATTGTGGAGGGTTATGACCTTCCTAAACATTACATTTCGGATGTAGAAAATATGAAGAGCTCCAACTATTCACGATTGGCCAAATACAAAGCTCCTGAAAGAAAGACTGAGGTAGCACCTCCTCACACAGACAAAAATGCCAGATTAACCATTTTATGCCAAAATGATGTTCACGGGCTCCAGGTGTTATCCAAAGATGGCAAATGGATAGCATTGGAGATACCCCAACATGGCTTTGTGGTCCTTGTTGGTGACATACTACAGGTATGTATACACTTAATTATATCTAATGGAATCCAAACAATTCGTATAATTAATTAAAAAGAAGTGTTAACTGAAAATATATAATTACAAAGTTTGAGCATAACTAATAAAAAAGTAAAAAAAAAAAAAAATGACACCAAATCAAGATGTCTCTTTTATTAGTATTGAGATGAATTGAAATTCTTGTAAAATATTTAATTATTAAATAATTATAATTATGTTGCATGTATTAATTAACAGGCATGGAGCAATGGGAGGCTTCATGCAGTCACACATAAGGTGGTGATGAGTGGAGACAAAGACAGATACTCATTTGTGCTTTTTACAACGCCAAAGGAAGACATGGTCATTGAGGTGCCCTCTGAGTTAGTGGATAATGAAAACCATCCCCTTCGTTATCGTCCATTCAATTATGGAGAGTACTTTAATTACTTTTTTGAAAAGCCCATACCAAATGCTCTTGAAGTGTTTGCAGGGCTTTGAAAGGGATTTATGACGTGAACTGTTACAGGAGAAAGGCAAAATATGCAAGACGTTGCTATAGAACTACTTTTATGTAATACAGAATAATCAGACCGACTTTTACCGATTTATAACATTATATAAACGGGATACAAACGTTTATAACTACTATTTGGTCTCAATTTTTACTATGATCTTTTTATTCTTAATAATATTACGTATCAAATAATTAATACAATTAATTATGTCATTTTAGTTAAGTAATTATTCACTTTTATTTCTTTTAACTGTATATTATCTAAGTAATTGAACTCATTATTCGCACTTTCACATTCTTCTCTTTCTTGCTTCCTCTTTTTTTTGTTAAAGTGACTTCATATCCCTGCATAATATATCCTCCATTTCATGGTACATCCTTTCTCATGGCAGTCAAGATTGAGAGAAAGAGAATTTTTCCTCCCCCACCAGCCACTTTATTTCATTATTTCCTTCTCGCAACAAATCCCTCACACCTTTCTTCTTCTTCTTATTCTGTCTATCATATCCTGTTATCGTCTTTGTCTCTTTGTTTTCCCTTCAATCTCTCCTTAGGCCCATTTCCTTCAAACCTTTCTACTTTTTTTTCATTTTTCAATCCACTTAAATTGCCCACAATAAACATTTCACCAATTGTATACATTACGACCATCATTGTTCGTTGGTTTTGACGTAGAATGAGAACGAATAGATGGGCCAAGAGCATGGGAAGGATTTCAAGGATTGACAGTTTCGCAATTGCGTCTAAGGATTGGCAGTTTCTCACTTCCGCTCAGATTCCTCGACCACGTTTTTTCAGGTTGATTCTCTTTTCTCAATTCTATTTTCTCATGCTTATTAAAAAATATTCATTAAATTATGTAAATTTAGTCATATTTTACAATGATTTTTTTGCATTATTTTTACAGTGAATTTAAATTTATTCAACTTTTTAAAAATTCAAATTTAAGATATCTCTATTTTCCAAATTCATTTTTTTCCTTTTAAATTATAAAAATTCATTTTTAAACTTATTATCTTAATAGATTTAAAATTTTAAATATATAATCATATTTTATTAAAAATTCAAATTTAAAATATGCCTAATTTTGAATTTTGAATTTTATTTAATTTTTAATAGTTTTAAAATTACAAAAAAAATATATTTTAAAACTTATAAATATTTGGTCTCCACTTTCTTTTATCCAATTTTACCCCTTATTATTATTAATATTGATGGTTACTTTCTTTCAAAATAATAACCGTAAGGTGGTTACTTTCTTTCAAAATAATAACCATACGGTGGTTACTTTCTTTCAAAATAATAATCAAACAAATAGTCGTCGTTAAGTATGTTATTTTCAAAAAAATTATAAACCAAATTCATTATCACTCTATTATGAGTCCCAATCCAACGTTTTGTAAGATAGTATTTCTTTTCTCTCACCAAAATTTTCATTCAACGCTATCACCAAATCGCACAATTATTGTATCTAATTGGGTTGCACATGATTCTTCTGACAACATCACTCCTTATACTTTCAAGCAAGAAACAACATATTTTTTGTCCTAAAAAAAGTCAAAACGCGTTGTTGAAACCCGAATCCTGGTTCCATGACTCATTGTCAATGATATACATCAATGTCTTCCATATTGTGTTTTGATCGATAAAGGTCATTAGTACCTTTGATCTTATGTTTTCCCATTCATAGTTTTCAAGTTAGTATTCTCTTATAACTTCTATCTATAACTTCTATAACTTAAGATTTTACCCTTATTGATGATTAATTTCTTTTAAAATAATAACTACACAATATATCTATAATTTTATCCATTTTTATCTTCTCGCTCTTAGAAATTTTCTCTACCTCCTTTGTACAATTTTTTTCCATTCTCCCTCTCTACATTTTTCTCATCCCCACTCTATCCTGGTATGAATCACATTTGCAAGCAAGTTGTATTATATTTTAAGTCATCTTCTTTAATGTTGGATATAGTGACACATGGTATAGAAGAATAATACTCTGACCTTGATAAGGACACCATTAAGAAGCATGACTGTGGTTATGACGATTAGTACACCCTTAATGATCATGACTTACATGAGGATGAAGAAATGACTTAAGACTCACAAGTCCATCAAACAAAAAATATGTTCTTTTTTTTTTTTTACATCATCTACAATTAGATATGTTAAAAATTAGAATAAAAAGAGTGTAATTTTGTTTTTCTTTTCTCAATGATGACATCGCATCAATGCTATTAGTTACACAAAAATGACATGTAACATGTCTACAAGTTATTCGATCTAAAAGTAATAGTAAAAATTACTTTTAAAAGTTTTAAAATTTACAAAGACATAAATAAATTTAACTATATTTGGAGGACATCCTTTGGATTTAATTCATTTCAAGTTTAGTCAATAGTAAATTTAAATGTATTTTTCTTTCATTTTATGTTTAATCAATTTTTTAAATGTCCATATTTAAAATATGTTTGTTTCTTATTTTGATTTTTATTTTCTAAGTTATAGATTTAATATTTTAAAATTTTATTTGAAAACTTATTATTTTAATATATTTAAAATTTTAAATATATTTATAAATATCTAATATAATTTCAGTAGATATTATAAATTAAAAAATGTTACAATTCAACCATGAAACATAAAATTTGATTTATGTTACCCAAATAATATAATCACTATGTTTGATTGAACTTAAATGTGTATCTTAAATTTATTCTATTTTTTTCTCAATAAAATTGGGTTTACTAAATTAAATATGTTTATCAACTTTAATCATTTTTTTTCATGAAATTATGTTAGTTTCAAAAGTTATGTTTTTAATATCACATATTTATTTTGTAGTGTTTAACTCTTTTGTATTAACTAAAATTTGGAAAATGGTGAAAAAATAATTGTTATCTAAAAAATTAGAAAGGTAATATAATAATATGGTTGTGAAAATATTTTTTATGTGTCAATTTAATAGATATAAAAATATAATTTTAACATTTCTTCATTTAAATCAATTCTAACTCATATTTTTCTTAATATTAAGACACTTGAAAATGCAAGATTGAGTAATACCTGTTATATTGACAACTTTCATGCAAAATAAAATATCTCTATTTTTTAGGTTATGGTTATTTCTTTCATAAAATAAAATAAATTACATGAAATTTTAAATATTTCATATTGATACATGACATTGTATTATTTATTTTTGTAGTTTTTTAAAATCAAAGAAATTATGGATAATGTATTATATAAAGAATTGAAATTTATTATTGAAAGGTATGACATTATTTAATTTAATTATTTATTAATTCTGATATATGTTTTATTTATGTTAATGTTAACTAAAAATAATAGTAGAATGACATTTAATTTCTATCATAAATTGCAAAGAACCTAAAAATCATCCTGAAATGAATTTTTATTTGATCCTATTAAGAAAATTCTATGATAATAAAACATCATATTCAATAAAATTATTTATATAATTATATGTCAACAAATGAATTCATTCCATATATAAGTTATTTTAAATTTTAAGATAGTACACATACAGAGGTACGAAGTGCCTCGGCTCCACTAATTATTTATAATTAATATTATAATTTAACATTATATATATGTTTATATTTCGATTAATTCATTTTTATGCTGAAAATATATTTTTAGTTATTAATAAATAAAAAACCCAAAATGTAATAAACAAAGCCGTTGAGATTGAAAACCGTAAAAATGAATATCAAAAGGAAACTCGAGTGAGGAAGAAAGAGTAGGCATAGGATGGAGGACGAAGAATCAAACTCGAGCAGTGTGGAGCAGATTCTGGATCTTCTCCACGCAGCCGGCTACGTTGACGCCACAAATTCCGATGCACCGCCGTCTCAGAAGATCGCCGGCGGCCTCTCCTGGTGTATCGCTGCCTTAATGCAAGTATCTTCTTATTCTTTCCTTTCAATCAATTCGGTTAGGGTTTTCTTCTGCGCTCTAACTCGCCTTGCAGAGACCACGACGACACGCGTGGCATTGAGGAATCTTTAAGATTAGTTGGATGCCCGCACCCTCTTCGACCCTCCCACGTTCAAGATCTTCATACTCAGCCTCTTCTTCCTGTAATTCAGTGGCTTACTTCGCACCTTCCGCAAAATAGAGAACACCGTGTCAACGAGGTATTAAACTGTTGCTAATAATAGTGATCGAAACTTTTGATTCTGATTCAAATGAAAGGATTGGTGATGTACATGTAACATGTTTGATGAGAATGGAATGGAAGCTTAGTCAGTTTGGATAAAATTCTCTTTAAGCACTTCTAGGATAAAAAATAGGAAGTAAAAATCAAAATTAGCTTATCCATAAGCTAGAACTAGATTATGCATAACTTAAAACTAAGAATTTGGATAAGCTGACTGGTGAGATCTTCTACAAATTAACTTATGTATAAGTCAATTTTAGTTTACAGCGAAACTTATTTCATTTTTCATTCCTACTTTTCTATGCGAAAAGTATTTCTGGAAAAGTTTAACTAAACAAGTCCTATGTTGAAGTGTGGTATTACAAGTCCTACTTTTCTCTTGGTAATTGTTATTACAAGCTTTGTCGGTACGTAAGGGGCTTGTGAAGCGTGGTATGTTGTTCTTAAATGAATCTTGTGCCCTATGTAATTATGAAGACGAAGAGGTGAAGCACTTATTCTTGCATTGTTCTATTTCGACAAGTATATGGTATTCAATTTGGTATTGGTTGGGCTTCTCTTCATGTATGCCAAAGAGTTTAGAGGATCTTTTATTGGATATGTGTGGTTTTGTGGGTGGGAAAAAGAAGTGGAGGTATGTAGTAACTATTTGGGTAGCTGTGGTATGGAGTATTTAGTTACATAGAAATAACATTGTCTTTAACAATGATTTAGTAAATGTTGGGGAGATTATAGATGCTATCAAATATAGGTCATGGAAATGGTTGACAGCAAGTTTGAATGAGGGACAACTAGTATACATAAATTGGTTAAATGAGTCATTGATATGTATTCAGCAGTTGCCTTAACTTTGTATATAGGTTGGAGTACCCTTTGTACTCCCTTCTTTTAATATTATGTTTTTTGCTTATCAAAAAAAAAAAAAAAAACAAGTCCTATGTTGAGTTATTATGATTATTTAGGGTATGAAAATTAAAATTAATATACTTTTTTAGTAATAAGAATATGTACTAAATAATTTACACTCTCTTCTAGTCACAAATTCGCCATGTATAATAATTTGTTTTACAGTAACTTAAAAATTATATCAATAATGATTTTTGGTTAACTGTTTGAGTAATTGTTTTATATCAACAATATATAGAAATTAAACTCAAAAACAAAAATGTTTGTTAATCTTTCTCCGCATTTAGTGATGGAAGTTGGAATAGATGCATGAGGACTTAGATTTGATTCTCATAGTCACCATTGCACTAAAAAAGAACCTTTCTCTGCATTTACCTTGTGTTTATTGCGTGTTTAATGTAGTGCTGATTTTTTGTATAGGTTTTTCGTGCTGAAAATACCATTGAGGTGGAAGAATGTAGAGCTTCGAGTGAGACATTGAGTGGAAACTTGGATGAACTGGTTGGTGAGATGGATAAGATGTTAGATATGAAGCTGGCTCTTTCTTGATGATAACATGCCTTCATGCCCCATCCTCCCCTTTTATAATCTAAGTTGATTGTTAGTTTTGTGCCTCTCCTGCCTATTCTGTCAATGTTAACAGAAATTGGATAACTGTTTCTTTTGTTTTATTTTAAGTGCTATCCTTAGCAACATTTACATGTATGTTCTTATGGGTTTATTTGGCTTTGTTATTTTATTTTCTTCTTATTGTTTTTTGTCCAAAGAATCACCGGAAGATGAATGTTGTGAAGCAATTAAATATTATACAAAAGAGAATCAATAAGGAGGATGCTGATTCTGCTGTACAGAAGTTGGTTTCTTTAATGACATCTTTGAAGGTGAATTGTATCTTTTAATCTATTTAATATTAAAAGTACAAACCTACACTAAAACATAGTAATAAGTGTTGCTTATGTTATTCATCTTGGTTCAGGATCTTCAGAAGCAGGAAAATTACTTTCATTCCAATCGTGATTCTAAACAATCAGAACTTCAAGCTGAAATTAGTGAATTAGAGAGGAAAATAACAAATGACAGTGATAATGAGAACCTCTCTGACGGACTACATTGTTCTTTTACTGAATTAATTGAAAAAGTCAATTTGATGAAAAAGGTAAACCAGTCTTAATAAGTGGACTTGTTTCCTATTCCTTTTATTCTCATTTTGTGGCACTCGATGGTTTTAAATTTTTTGTTGTGGTTACACTGCATTTACTGAAATTGCCGAACATGTGGGCTAATGTGATTTGTTGCAATCGGGGTCATGATATAGTTGCAAAAAACTCCCAAACAGTAAAATTGCAGCTGCAATTGCATTTGAAATTTGCTATTTAAAACCTTACACTTTTAACTAGTTCTTGATCGTTGTTTATTCCTCTGTTTCAATTACTATAAACCTCATGCCTTTTCCTTGTGTGTTAGCAACTTGCTGCTAGACTGAGGGATATTGTAGCAGTAAGACGACAGATTGATGACCTACCATGTCAATCAGAAGTCATCCAGTATGTTTATTTCTTTCACCTTTCACTTGTACATAATTTCCATTACACTCCTTATAACTCTTCGCCAAATGAAGTTGAATATGTTCTTTTGTAAATCTAATTATGTGCAACTAAACTATTCCAGGATATTTTCTTTCAAATTTCATTTGCACATGTTTTCCAATGCCCTTTTAGTCTTCAAAACTCTTTGAAACACATGCATTACTTTATTTCAATTTTTTGCAATTTGAACACACTTTCAACTTGAGGTAGGGGAAAGAAGAACTCAATAAAATTGCTTTTTACATTTTAATTTTTTCTTAATTTTCACAAAAAGAAAAAAAAATTGTGAACATTTGGGGAGGTTTTGATTACGGGATAGTGAGAGGCTGACAAGGCTTAAATTGGATAGGAAATTTGATAGAAAGATACCACATCCCTGTTTAATATTCTATTCCATTCTTATTGGTAGGAAGTTTTCTTATCAATTACTTTTACTTTTACATAAGCCTACTAGTCTGTAAAATATACTAATTCATGTGGGAGTTATCTCCCACCACAAATGTACCCTTTTATGAGATGAAGTAGAATATATTATATGGAAAAAGTTAATGAAAAATAACTATAGATTTGGACCATTTGGTGCCTGGAAGAGAGGAAAGGAGTCATGCATGTATGACAGGGTTAGGTCAATAAGAATGTGAAACGTAGTTGTCAGTCTTAAATATATTTACTGGATAATTCTTCATTTGTGTATGTGCAGGTACGAACGCCGGCTATCAGAACTGTATGCGCAAATCCAGGTTCATGCATTGTTTTGATGAAAAATTATTTATTATTAAGGAGAGAAAAGTTAAGTTAGAGAGAGGATAGTGTTTTTTGTTGTTTATCAAATCATGGTCATGCTAGTTCTAACTTCTAATTGTTATGCATGTTCTTGGTTTTGACTATGTACAGGGGAAACATCGACAAACTCGTAAATACTATGCTACCTACAATGCTTTCTTGGAAATAAAAGAATTGATGTTAAAGGAAACATCTTTATTGAATTCGATCATTTCCCAGGTATTCATTGGAGAGTTGGAAACATGCTATAAGTCTTTCTTTTTAGCATTTGGTTTGGTGATTTTTTCTTTAACATGTTATTGTCTTTTTATCTCTATGGCATTTTTCTTATCATTGGCAGTGCACCAATTATACAGCAACCAAAACTACTTTTTCCTTCTACCTGCTGTCTATCCCAAATAGCAGTGCGTAGTGGCAAACTTCTAAATGCTATAACAAATAGCAGTATGGTCACTACATGAAAGAATATAGTTGCAAGATAAATATTTTATTCTACATCTTTGAATTTGGGTTTTATGACTCAACTCTGCAAAATAAGTTTGTAAGGTAAGGATTATCCAAGTTTTACCCAAAGAGGCTGCAATTACAACTTGCTAAGGGTGACTGTAATTAAGGTTAAGCTCTGCACTGCTATCTAGGATTTGATAACCAACTATCCTAAATTATTATAGTTTAAGCAATTGGGAACATGGACAATTTCTTTACCTCTTACCAATGTTAATCAGATACTACAGAATATTTTGGTCTGAGGTTTTTCTTGACCTCAAAGTCAGAAAGGTTTTCCTGTCCTGAATTTGATGAGAAGGAAACCCAATTTAACAGGGTTGATGGTGGGTTAAGGTTTTCCTCTATACATAAATGGCAAGGGCAGGTTTGTGGAGATAGTTTCCCGCCACGAATCTGACTCTGTCCCAATAATAATTAAACTATAATAATAATAATAATTATTATTATTATTATTATTAAATATGAAGTTAAATATACTTTGTGCTAACAATTAACAATTTGATTTAGTTCTTAAATTACTGAACATTTTTTTTATATATATTATTTTGATCTAAAATTTGTTTGTTATAGAATTTATTTTTCAAAAAATATGGGATTACACAAAAAAAGGTGGGGCGTGGTTGGGTGTCAATTTTTTATCCACTGGGTGCCGGCCACCACTCCATCTTGTCGCCATCCAGTGGAGAATAGGAACTGTTTGACCTAGCATTTCATTGTTTATAGGGGAAAGTCTGCATTTTCTTTAATGTTATCTAAACAGTTTCTTTTTAATTGCGTTCAGTTTCAAGAGGCCTTTAGTAGCACTGATGGACGTACAAAACTTGTTCATTCTATGGAAGGAATTGTCAAGGGAAGTCAACAGGTAATGTTATTTTCTAGCATTCATTAATGATAAATTTGGAAGAGTTAACTGCAGCTCTTCATGTGTTGTGTTGATTTTAACTTAGGATTTCCAAGAACATTGAACAAATTTCATTAGGGACAAATTGTTTGTCTGAACCATCACGCATGGTAGTCACTCCTTTCTGCATTGACTAATTAGCATTGATTATAGTTACATCCTTAAAATAATTATGATTTGGATAATAAATCTATTGAATCAATGTTCACTGTTCAGTACTTCAGTTTCATGATAATTTTGGTGTTGAAATTAAAATTTTAGTTGACTATAAATGTGATTTTTCTTTCTATCTTCGTAATGTTTATATTTTTTCATTGAATGTGCTTTCTGTAAGAGTTTTAACTGCTGCACTTATGTGCAGAAATTAGAAAGGGTTCATGTAGGGCTTCAAGAAGAAGAGAGAATTCGTAATGATCTGAAGCAGAGGTATGCTGCAGCAATCGGTGAGCAGAAGCGCTGCTATGCTCTGTTGAAAGCTTTTCAGGTAAGCTCTTCTGTTCATCGGATGGCAGTGTAGGTGATGGAGAATTAAAGCTTTTTTATGATTATTTTTGGGTGCCAAGTCTGCGTCTATTTAACCTCTTCCTTTGTTTCATAATTGATTGTTCTGTCTAGCTGATAAAGCACCAGTTAATTTATGAATGGTACTCTCTAGTCCCTCCCTCCTGACTTATAGAGGGTATTCAAGAAATCAGTTAATTGATTGTTTTTTAAATAAACTTAACTAGCTTGTAATCTTTTTTTATTTTTTGTCCAATGTTGCTTAAAATAGAATTTTAGGTTATTTTTATTTATTATTATTAACTTTAATATTTTAATAAAATTCTTCATTTTATATCATATAAAATTAAATAAGGATGAAGATCTTAAATTAAAAGGGGAAAAAAAATAATGTTTTTCCAAGTTAACAATTTAGCATGTCATTATAGTCAACTAGTCACAATAAAATGAAATCATTCATCAAATTGTGGTATTTAATCTTTATTAGTACAAAAACTTATATATATA